GGTCCGATTCTGTATTAACTTGTTGCAGTATTTTACAAAAGCAACTCACATTTCTAAGTAGATCCAATCCAATATCATGCCCATAGATTTTGAGCGCGTTCAAATCTCCTTTTGATATCCAGAACACGTATCAACTCGCTCGAATGTTGCACCTAAAAACACAATTATCGGCAAAGACTAAAAGCAAACCAAAAGACGAGCAATCAATTTTATGAGGCCATGTAGTCAGAGTTGCTTTCTTCGCCGCACGTTTTGCCGCCTTTGTTAGAGCTTTCTCATTGATAAACGGTTTCAGATGATCGTAATTTTGACATACCAGAGCTTGTGGAATCAATTTGAAAGACAAAACGGGTAGGTAAAATTACAGCAAATTGTCGATTTTTCTCTATGTATAACTCCGTCCGTTTGCTTCCAAAAGCTCTGGCATGTCAAAATTTCGATTCTATGCCCCAAAATTATCCAGAAAAACAAGTTTCGGAATAGAAACTAATTAATATTAGCTTTTTTAAAACGCAAAAAAGGTGCGCTAATGGGTCAGGTGCGCAAAAAAGGTTGCATTTGTTCCACTCCCTAACTTTATAGAAAAAACGTAAAACGCAAAAAGAAAGTGCACCTTGGTCAATTTAGTTGCATCTTCCGAGCTTCTTGAAGTTGATTCGTCGATTCGCAACTAAAAAAAGCAATTCTAACAAGTCCACCAACAGAAAAACAAAAAAAAAAGAACTCAAAAAGTCGACAAGTGGGGCTAAAAAACAGTGAGTAACCAAATCCCTTACCTAACACAGCACACTTAAACAGCAAATATGGGCAAACAATATACAAAGGAGAGAACGAACGAGGGGAGAGAGCACTTTAAAAAAGCGCCACAAAAACATAATAGATTCCACGGAGAGAAGAAAACTCGGCATAAATCTGAACAAACAGAAAGTTTCCGAGTCCATCATGGAATGAAAAGATGAAAAAAATGGCAAAAGGAAAATTTTTGGGCGGGGGTACGGTAGCGCATCCACGCTTTGGAAAGTGCACCACGCCGCTTTCGCGCCAATCCCTTAAAACTACACGTTAATAGTAATCTAACAAAACGATTCTATGGGTCTAGGGCAGTCCTTGTTATAATGGGCGAAAAGGTGCGCAAATGTCCCGGGTGTGCAAAAAAAAAAAGGTGCGGAAAAAAACGTGTCCACTCAGAGTGGCCACTCAGAAAAAGAAATGCAGTCCGAGAAGTTGTTTTTCTTGGAACTCTTGGACTTTCTTGAATTTGTGCCATCTTGTTGATAAGTTCAAATACGATTTTCAAAATGTTTACGAGCCCAGGGCAAGAGTTTATCCTTGAGAAGATCCAGGTAGTTATCGAAATTGCACGCGTGATACCTTGTTGCGACAATTACGCTGTATATGTACAGCTTAGGAAAAGAAAACTATGTATGCACTTGTACACTATTTGAAGTTAAAGTTGTAGTTTAAATCTAGGGTTTGAGATTTATGTAAACATATCTCTAGACAGAGAAATTATTAGTCTAACCGGTGTGAAGAGTATTTCTTTGGTAGGTTTATTACCCGTGCCTAGTTCTAGAAACTAGTTCTACTCAGAAATGTATCTAGCAATGAAAACTTTTAAAAAATTTAAGAGGAAGAGCGAAAATCTAAAAAGAATCTAACGAATACGATTGCAGGAAGAGGAAAGAGTCCTAGAAGAATTGCTAAAGAGAGCCACAACGAGTCAAGAAGCCAGGAAAAGCCAAACTTCCGAGTTTTACTATTAAGCAATAAATTTTTATTTACTTCGTTTTCGAAATTTCTATTACAGGGTGCGGCCAAAATATCCGGTGGGACATATTAGCACAAATCTCTTGGGCACGAATCTCTTGGGCACGAATCTCTTGGGCACGAATCTCTCGGGCACAAATCTCTTGGGCACAAATCCTCATCTGAAATCTCTTGGGGTCGTCCAGACCGTTCCTCGTCTTGGAGACTTTCATTTCCATCTTTGCACCGCTGAAACCATCTTTGGCATTGTCTTTCGCTAATGCTGTCTTTCCAAAAAACTTCCCTGATTGTCGGATGCGATTCAGCCGCGAATTTCCCTTGTTTAAAATCATACCACAAAGCGGCTCGAAGTCGAAACTTTTCGTCGTGCATTTTGTACCTGAAAATATTGTTAAATTTGTAAAAATTTGTAAAATTCAAACATAATATGAAAGGATAGAGTGTTTGGCTGATATCTATTTGAAATAAAATAGCATAAGCAAAGAACTGGAATTGAAAACCGACATTACTTTTTCCTCAACCTAATACTTTTTGCCATAATAGCGCGAAAACTCATTTCTCCACGCCTCTTTTCATGTTTATGCATTTTTTAAAATTCTTTTTTATATGTTTCAATTATTTTTTTGATAAATAAGTGATTTAGAAATGAAGCTGGGACAAAAAGAAAGTCTAGTAAGGGAGATCAAGTGCGTTGTGGCGTAATGGTTAGAACAGCTGCCCGGTAAGCGAAAGGTGGCGGGTTCGAGTCCCGGCGGCGGACACTTGAGTCCCAGCCCCAGACAAAGTATTCAACTGAGATCACCATAAACCTTGCTTACTGATCTAACGAGATAGCTGGATTGCGAGATAGCTGGATTAGGAGACAGCTGGATTACGGATACAGTACTGGACAATGAAATATCATATTTGAAAAACGATCGTCACTTTGGCGCGTCTGTAACTCCCTTACCTTTGAGTTTAAAATATTAGTGTTATATTAGTGTTATACATTTTCTATAAGCTCTTTTCAAGGGCTACACAATGGTAATATGAATATTTAGAAATTCGGTATTTTTGGCGCATTTCAGCAGAGATGGAATACTTAGAATTTTTGATTTTCAAAGCTGTTTTTCTTTATGATAGAGTGCTGGAATCGCTCTGAAACTACAATTTTTGGAATCTACACAAAAATTTACCATCGAGCAAAGCTAACAGGGATATCAAATCTAGAGAGATTATTCGGTGAAATACGGCCGTCCAATCGTTTTTCAAAAGCACAACGTTTTTCATTAATAAATTTTGATTCTGTAATCAAATTTTGTAATAAAGTGTACAGTTTCAGAGAAGCAAAGTTTATACACGCATTTATATCAGCCAAGTATTTCGATAAGAAAACTTGAGTACACCCGATTGGTCGTGTTTTCTATTGGTTTGTCTGGTTATGAATGCGCGTTTTTTACTATTTTGTAAATTTCTCAAGATACCGAAATCAAGAAAAAATATATATGAGTATTATTCGAAAGCTGAAGATCTCCTCTACATTTTGATATAAAAAGCTTTTGAATTTGTCCAGCTTTTGGGCAAATTGACTGCACAGAAGAAGAGGTGGCCAAAAAATGGAAGGGTGCCTTTGGATCAAGTTTTGGCTCCGCTCAAATTGAGTTAACCGTTTGATGTTTGGCCAATAGATATATCAATACAACTTTTTTTGAAATATAACAATTTCAGAGCATCTTTACTTTTCTTTTCTTTTTTGGGCGGTTATCTTACACCATAAAACTTGAGGAATAGCTAAGCTGGAATGGGTTTTTTTTCGAAAACGACCTCTCCCTTTGTGCAGTCAATTTGCCCAAAAGCTGAACAAATTCAAAAGCTTTTTATATCAAAATGTAGAGGAAATCTTCAGCTTTCGAATGATATATAACACTCATATACATCTGTTCGATATCTTGAGAAATTTACAAAATAGTAAAAACCCGCATTCATAACTGGACAACCCAATATATTTATAAAAGATATTGAAATGCTACCGTTAATAATACGAAATGAAATAATTTTAACAAAAAGAAGACCCAAAATTGTGATAAGTTCAGTTGAAAAGTTTACAATAACAGCAAAAAGTGAATCAAACAAAACCCAAGAAAAAACACTGTAAAAGTGATTAAAGCACAGTTTAAAACAACTTCTGAAGACAATTTCTTTAATAAATCCATCCCCAGACTCTCCGAATCAATCCTTTTTCTCTTTCAGCTCTTTCTTTTTCCTCTTTTGCTTTTTTTTCAGCATCAGCTTTTTCTTGTCGTTTTTTGTCTCTTCTAGTCGATCGTTGACTTCTTTGCGAATCTGGAATTGAATGTAATAGACATAGGCACTAAAAACTATAAACATAAACTAAAAACACTTTTAACTTGCTTCAAATCTGCTGGATTGATACGATCTATAGCTTAAAAAATAGAGAATCAGAAGAGCTTTCGAATGGACTAAAGTAGACGCAAAAATCTCAATCCTAAAGAAAGTTACAATGGTTTTGTAGCCTGACTCAATCGTTTCGACTACGCTTGAGTACGGTTCGTTTCGAGTCAGGACTATAAACCACTGTAACTTTCTTTAGCATTCATCTTTTTGAGTGTGCTTTAGTTCATTCGAAAGCTCTTGAGATTCTCTATTTTTTGAGCTATAAATCGTCTCAATTCGGCAGATTTATAGGAAGTTAAAAGCGTTTTTATTGTGACAGTTCGTCACTTTTGTAGAATGTTGATGTCTAGAATGGGAAACTTCTTTGCTAATGAATATGCTCTTTTTCAAAAGCTACCGTAATCTTGCCCCTAATAGTAAGTACCGTAATCCAATCTTCTGTCTACTTCCAGCTAGACTTTCAGCATTCATACCTCCACAAAAGTCAGTCAAAACTTGGATAAAACTGGCTACGGTGGCTGTCTACTGTATACAATTGTATACTGTGTCATAAGTTTTTGCATGAATTTGTGCCTGACTAGAGAAAGACACAAACTTAAGCTGACTCCCAGTGCACTGTGTGACGACTTTTGTCTGAACACCAAATGCACTTCATAGAATCGGAACTGAGGAATCCGAAAAAAATTACTTTCCTCAGGCAAAAGTCTAGAAGTTACTAGAAGAAAAACAAAAATGAAAATCTGAATCAGGGACCAAACCGTGACCCTATGAGCGGGAGCCCAATCCACGATCTACTAGGCCACTAGCATACCTTTTCTACGCTAGGAAAGAGCGCTTTAAAGCAAAGCCTTAAAGCAAAGACTTAATGCATTTTAAAGACTCTACCCTCTCGGCTTCTCGTTCATTTCGATCCTCTTCGCGGTTTCTTTCGTTTCTTTCGTTTTCAGCTCTTCGTTGCTACAATTACATTCAATTTATTGAGGCAAAATTGCATAGGAATGCTTTATCTAATCATTGTTAACCCAGATTCTCACCTCCATCCGAATCCTCGCCTCATTCCCTTCTTTCTCGAGTCGATTCGCCTCTTCCTGTGCTTCTCTCATTTCTTTTCGTTGCCGCTCTTCACGCGCGTTTTCAAGCTGTCTAAAAGCGTTTAATAAAAGCGTTTCATTTGTTTAAATCAAGTTTTAATTGAATTTTTTAAAATCACGTACTGTTGCGTCTGTTCATTCATTTGTTTAAACAGGAAGAATATTGGATTCAAATCGTTGCTCTTCCCAGCTGCTTCTCGTTTACGTTTTTCTTCGTCTGAAAGAAAACTTCTAATTAAATTTAACACACTACCTGTACTGCAGAAGAATTTTATGATCTATAGTACATGCTAGAAGGTGCAGTGACTACAGTAGGACATGCTGAAAGGTGCACTGACTAGAGTAGGATATTCTAAAGAGTGACCTAGTCTACCGTATTCATTTCTCTGTCTACTGTACCACCAAGTTTTCGTCAAAATGCCCACCCAATTGTTGCTGTGTATCGGTGAGTTGTTCTTGGATTCTCCCCTGTTCCGCTTGCAATCTTTTCTGTGCTTCGTTTTGTCGATGTCTCATATCGATCATCTTGTTCCTCAGCTTTTCCATGTTGAAATGCGCACGAACCTCCGACTCAAAGTGGTCCTCGCATCGCTAAAACTGACATTTAACACACTACAATCAATCTTTACCTTAAACAGCGCTCCCTTCGCATCCTTGAAGTTGTCAATCATTTGACGGAGCATGTTCAAATCAAGTTTCGGCATTAGTTGGGAAATGTCGATGATGAATTGAGCCTCAAATGTAATAGTCTAGTTATAGGCTAGACATGAGCACGGATCAACAAAAAGCTACTATGACTCTGGTGATGATTTGACCTAGCCTGGCTTGACTAGATTTCTTTCAAATTCTCCAAAAGCTTTGATCTTGCCTAGCCTAATTCAAGACCAGCTTTACTACTGGAATCTCTGGCTCTAGCCAAGCTTTGACTAATCTAAAAGGTAACTGAAGTCCAGAGAATGTCAGAAGCAAAGTCAGCAAGGCTGCCAATTTCTGCAGTTTACCTTGCTTGCTTCAAAATTTGTATTCAAAGCGTTCATCCCACGTTCGATAAACATTCGGATTTCGTCTAATTTCTTGACCAATGGAACTTGCTGAAATTGGGTGAATTAGGTTGCCAGAAGGTGTGCGTTTACAAAAGCAAATAGCTAGCTACCTCCTTCAAATATTTTCCGTAATTGTCTGCAAGCGCGTTGATCATTGAATCCAAAGATGCGTTGAGTTGAACGACGAGGTTGTCATTTTGGAGATCTTCGAAACGAGTCTGAATTCATGACTTGAAATCAGTTTAGAAGTACGATCACCAGTAAACATTTACAAGTTTACATTTCTAAGATTTCTGCATCAAATTCTAAACCAACCAAAATCATCTTAGTGAGAAGACTCCTCTTACGCTCGATCAAATCCACCTCATCGTTGAAAGGCTCAACAGCTGAAAAAACCGGATAATTGTTAGAAAAGGAAACTAAAGATGTACTTTGTGATTAAGCCTGCAAAAACACCCTGTCTGGTGCGCTAAAATTGACAACTTTCAAGTGCCAAGTTGGTGAGCTAGAAAAGGTGTGTTTCCACTTCAAAGCACTCCTCAATTAGGTCAACTTTCTAGTCAATTTTTAATGTTTTCACACCAATAACTGCTATCATTGGAAATCAGATGTGTACTTTGTGCTTAAATCTGTAAACACAGCGTCTCTGGTGCACTGATCCTTCCTTAAAGCAAGTTATTTCGCTAAGAAGAAAACAAGAGCGCTAGATTGGTGGTGTTTCTATATTTTTTAAGAAAAAGTACACTTAAATCTTTAAATCTAAATGCAAATCTTAAATCTAAAGCCATAAATCTTCAATTTAAAGCTTAAATCTAATTCTATAAATCTAAGAATGACAAACCATTCTCAAAAAGTGACATTGCTTCAGGAAAGGCTTTCTCGTGTCGATCTTTCACTTGTTCAACGGTAGCTTTTCCAAGAAGGGAATCCCCGAAGTCTGGCTGAATATTAAATTACAAGAAAAGAATTCATTTTCATGCCTTCATCCCTTTCTCGTACAACTCTGAGCTTTGCTGCACCGCATCGGCCATCAAGAAGTCGCGGAAACGGCTCCGATTGCTAAGCAGCTTCTCTTGGCATTTTGCCTAAAACAAAAGCTAGCAATCAGAGATACTATCCAGTTAATTAATATCCAATAATAATATAAGTTAAATGATATTCAGTTAACTAATATTGAAGGCTTAAAATCATATAAACCCATCTCATCTAAGATTATTATTTTGCATCAGCTCAGCTTTATTTTATTTTATTTATAGCTAGCTCTGGCAACAGTTAATCCAAAGTTATTTAAAGATTCAATAGTGTTATTTCTAAAGATGGCAATAATATTAGAAAGATATTTGATAGTAAAATTCTTCACTAAATTCCAATACCAATTCCACTCCACTCACCTCTAATGACTCCTTCAACGCCAAGAGAGTTTTCCCTTTAACTTCTTGAGTCCCAAAGAGTGGTTTTGAGCTGTATTCCTGAAAATATTAATGAATATATTTCTGGTTTTAAGCTGTATTCTAAAGCTTGAGATCAAATTCTTCTCTTTTTTATGCTGCTTTTTTACCTGAAGTGCTTCATCGACGAATTTCTTGAGTGTCTCTTCGTACTCTTTTGGATTTATTGGATGATGCCCGGACGCGCGCATCAGCTAGACAAGTTATCAGATATTTGATAGTATAAGGATTACTGTAAAGACAATCAATGGCCCTAGATTACGGTACGTTTTAAGGCATGAATCGGTAGCGTTTGAAAAAGTTCGTAAGCCTGAAAAAGCTTGAAGTTACCTGATCGTGTGCTGCGGCGAAGTACTCAGCTGCGGCTGCTTTGGCTTTTTCGAAGAAGAGCTCAGAAGTAGCCTATGGATGATTTGAATGGACTATGATAATGACATAAAACCTAACCGATGACTTGGCGCTGATCAAAGATAGAGAAACTGACCTGGAAAGCTGATCCGATTGCCTTGTGATTGTTCTCTTTGATGTGATCGACGAGGTTCTAAAAAAGCTAGTAGATAATCAAGCTTTAAGCTATTCTGTAAAATAGAAATTTCGCCAACCTCAACGTATCGCTTCAACGTGTTCCCTGTGAGATGATTTCCCATGAACTTCTTTGGGACCAAATTCTCAAGCACGTGATTTGCGCATTCGCAGAGATCTCCCAGGAATCGATCACCGCAATCTGTAATCGTTTATTGAGAACTATGGTAACCTTAACCCTTTAGTCACCGAATCGGCTACCGTAACCCTACCCGTTGTTTAAAATTTATTCGTTACCTTGAGCTCTAATCTCCCCACTCGCATTCAGCACATGCTCACTCGGGGTTTTCGCCATAAAACACTCGACTTTCTCGAAAGCCGAAAAGATTCCCTCAAATAGCTTTCTCAATTCAGGAGCTCTTCTCGTTTGAGCCTATAAAACTTTAGATTTCTTTTCAAACTTCCTGAAATTTGAAGCTCAACTCACCTGAAGAGTCTCAATGTATGATGGTTGAAAGCCGGATTGGAGTGCGTCTCGGATCATGATGATGAAGTGCTGGAAGCTTGTTGATAAAGACTAACAGACCAGAACCGAGCCAGGGTCGACTTTAGAGCTTTTAGAGTCAACTCGAGCTGCGCTAGGCTAAGAACTGATAGTAAGCTGAAGGTCATAGTAAGCTAGAACTGGACAAGCTTGGGCAACGGTCGGGTGACCCTAGCTAGACCCTAGTAGGGCCTAGCTAGTAGGGTCTAGCTAGGCCAGACCAGGCTAGGGACAAACTGTCTTCAGACCAGTCCAGTTCATGGCAGTACCAGGCCATATCTAGCTGCTAGCCTTATTGAGAATGAAATTTTTATATTTGAAAATAGTGGCAGATTTTTAGATTCGATATTTACCTGTCCCGCCCTTTCATCGGTCCTTTGGCTGAAGGCAAGGAAAAGATTCAGCGAATCCAGGTCCTGGGCGTCGATTTGCGTTCGAACATTGAAAATCTTTAAACTTCTTTGAAACTGAAACCTCAAAACCAGTTCTACCTTGATGGAAGACATAAGGAGTGAGATCGAAAAGATGATCGCCGAATCGATCATGTCACTCGTCGTGTCAAATGTGCCTTGAGTGTCCATGAGGATGACGGCCAGCTAGAATGTCAATGATATCAGATTTTAAATGGAAATTCTCTATATTTACCTCCTTTCCTTCTTTATCTTTTCTGATGAAAACCTTTGGCCAAACCATGATCCCCTTTGTGTGCCGAATGTATCCAGATTGAAAACGGATACCGTCATGACCGCTAAAACAAAAATTTACATATAATTAATGTCTCGTTAATGAATTTGATTGTATAATTTTACCTCGACAGCCTCAAGCACTGTAGCTGTTTACAAAACTACACTTGCTTACCGTAGTCTATTGTAACTGAAGCCTACTGTAACTATAGTATACTGTAGCTGAAGGATATCTAACTAAAGGATACTGTAACAGAGTATAGTATCTATCTAAGCATGTAGCTAGTTCTAAATCTAATACCCAATATAGTCAGTTGGTTTAAAATCGGCTTTTCCATCTTGAAGTCCTTTCAACAAAACATTGTTCCAAAAGGTTTTCCCTTGTCGAAATTTTCCGGCTGTTGAAATGATGGCAACCTGAAAAGTTTTTATATTTTGAATTAGCTTGCAAAGTATCTAGGTCTTCAAAAGAATCTGGTTTTCACATTTTCATCTTCATTTTCAAGAACCAACCGGTCTATCACCGATTTGATCACAGAGATTGTCGAGGACTCCCTTATTGAAGATGGTTTCCCCGTCTTCAGTGATATCGATTAATTGAACGAGATTCGTTTCTGGCTGAACTTTTGTATTTGTTTAGTATGTAAAAGTTATTTATATTCAGAATTGTGTGTCATTTATCAATTGTAAGATTACCTCAATATTTGGCTCGTTGTCATCTCCCGGATTTGGCTGTGGATCTTCGTTTCCTTCGGTTGATGTCTCCTGAAAGCAAGGCTAAATGTACTTTGTGCTTTAAACGTAAACACACCGTGTCTAGTATACTCGATTCTTTATTTAACCTTCTTTAGTAGGTGCTTTGCAAAGATACTTTGCGCTTTATGATACTCAACTTTTAATCAAATCCAATCAAGCCAATCAAATCCAAGGTCAAACCAATATCTAAAGCCTTTTTAAAACGTTTCTAAAGACTTTTATCTAGTAGAAGTTTATCTAATCTATCTAAAGCTTAAAACTTACCGTAGCCGTATCATCGAGTACTTGAATCCTTTCTTCAATCAATTCCACACTTGATCCCTCCAATTGTAGCTGTTGCTCGAGCTTCAATCGGTGCATTTCTTGAAGAATTTGTGGATTCAAATCGGTGGATCTCTGGAATTAGATGAATTTTTAAAAAACCTTTTGATTTCCGATAAAGCAAACCTTTCTCTGCAGCAAATAGTTCACTTTTTTCAGCGCCTTGTTCACGTTGTCGAGTTTTCCGACGGCTGAGAAGAGATCCTAGACCAAATTTCAATGCTAACTTTATGAAAATGTAAAATAAAATCGGTAATCAAGATCTCTATTTAAACATTGTTTTTGTTTCGTATCCTTGCAAAACTTCGCCCATCCGTATTTTCCTTTCGAAAGATATTGTTTTGGGGAAATGATAAGCGTTTTATGATCTTGATCTTTTCCAATTTCATTTCTCATATATTTATTAGATCACAAATTTGTTGGGGAATTGAAAGCACTGAAAAAGAGAACAAAAATCGATACCTCTTGCGCTTGATAGCGGTAGGCTTCTCTCGTTACCTCACTTTCATTAGGGAAATGGTCGATCACCTAAACAAAATGATCAAGAAATTACTTTTCATTGAAAAACTTGAACTCTATACTTTCTTCATGACTATTTATAGACTACACTTGGAAAAAGTTATGCAAGCAAACGAAAATACTGTAGTGGGACTTGAATCCAAGTCGCTTGTCTCATATTAGAGCTCTTTACCAATTGGTCACGGCCGCTTAGAAATCCAGGCTTGAGTTAACCTCTTAAAGGGACCCCTAAAACGGCTCTTAATACTTCATCAATTATTCAATTCAATTCAATGCGATTGTCTACTGTAAACTGCAATAAAGTAAAGAAATGAATGGCAAAGAATTTGAAACCGAGGGGACTTGAACCCTCGAACTTCTGTTTACCGGGCAGATGCTCTACTACTGAGCTATCCGGTGCCTGCTTGTGAGAGAAGAAAGAGGAAATACATGGGGGAAGAGAAAGCAAGAAAGAGACGGAAATACTCGACTCTGCACAATTCTGGGCAGAATACGGGCATTAGTAATCAAGTAAAGTAAGGAATGGCAAATAAAGAGTGAGCAAAACTGAACTAAAGGCCTCCAGTTCATGTAAGCTACAGTACTCCTTCAGTTCATTTATAAAGATTTCGATTTAAGCCTTTCACTCACTTTCAATTGATCCAAGTAATTCCCAAAGAGCAAATCCACGTCATCGGTTATCGGCACTTCTCTCTCGACACCATTTTCCACTTCCCATTCGCTGCTCGAGCTCTCGGATTGGCTTCGAGTCATTCTAGAAAAAAGCTTTAAAACATTAAAACATTAAAAATATCAAAGTGTAAATCTTGAGATATGAGTGTTCTATCTATCAAAGTAAAGATTACGGTAGCTATTGTAGGAATTGGATACGGTAGGGCAAACTAGGCTACGACAGCTTTTGTAGATATCATAGAGAATTCTAGCTTACCTAATCTAGCTTACCATAACGAAAGTCAACTGCAGCACAGTAATCAAGGTTTAAGAACAAAGATATTTAGCCTAAAATTTAAAGCCAGTAAAGGATACTATAAGTTGAAAAGGCTGAAAATGAATTTTAAACGTGTCTACCCTCACGCAAATATCAAATTCTATGGCAACAGGGAAATCGCTTTGTGCCGAGCATTCAAAAACTTGTTAAATAAAAAGACTCAAAAATTGGACTGTAATCGGCAGGTGTACTTTGTACTCGAAAAGCTTATAAACACACTCCTTCTAGCTCACTTAATTTTGTATTTCTAGCTCAATGTCAAGAGCAGGTGAGGAATCAAGTGCACCAGAAAGAGAGCTTGAAAAAGAGCACAAAGTACGAGAAAATAGACCTAGTTGATTGAGGAAAGTTGAAGCGGACAAAAGCAACTAAATTAAGTGTGCCAGAAAGGGTACGTTTACACATTTACACAAAGTACATCCCTAGAACCAACTGATGCTGCAGAAAAATGTTCAAATTTTGTTTTTGATCAAATTTTCCCCAAATACCGTTGCATCACGCAAAATTTTTCTTTAGCAATCAAATTTTTATCGTTTTTATTGCTGAGCTGACGAAAAATAGCCGACGAAAAATCTGTTGCAAGGAAATTTTCTGAAAAAAGTTGAATGAAAAATTGATTTAAAAAAGATCAACAATAGTTTAAATTAATACATTTTTTTGGTGATAAATTTTAAATTTTATTGGAATATCGATTTCTTTGTCAAAAACTGTCATTTTTGAGCTTTTTTTCTTTTGTGATCTCTATTGCACAAGAAAACTACCCTTTTTCCCTTTTTCCTCCTCAATTGATGACCTTGAACTGAGTTTAAATCCTATTTTGATGTGAAAAAGTTTCAGATTTGATTCAAATTTGCTATTAATTAATCTATTTATTAGGTTGATGCAAATTAATCTATTTATTAGGTTAGTCTTTTTCATTTGTTTCGTACTTCTGTTAAAAAGTAACAAATTCACCAATTAATCTATAGTTTGCTCTATAAAAAAAAGTGTTTTTTTGTTCAATTTCCATCTTTTTAAATGAATTTCGGTTCACTTTCAAGCAAATTCGAGAGTGAAAAACGCCTTTTTCGTAAAAATCTATAAAAAACTCTACGGAAAAATTGGCTGAATGAATTTCTCTGAAATTTTGGCGAAATATCAAACGTTTTTTTTCTCTATCTTTTATCTATTGACACGAAGATAGGTTTTCTTTAGCTAAGGTGTCTAAACCGCATCATCGAGTTAGCCCCTTTTTGACTACCCGACTTCATACTCTCAAGAAAATCCAGGCATTAAATATTTTTAAACCCGTTTTAATGTTATTTTGCAGAAAAATAATTGGTTTTTCTAATGAAATCAACCGTAGTTTAATTCGTGCATTTGTTGGCTTGAAACGGTAGACGAAAAAAATGAAAAAGACTTTTGCATCAACCTAATACCTAGTGATCTATTATTTAATAATTTTATTTGATTTTTTATCTAATTTATCTATTATCTAATAGATAAATTAGATTGGGCTCTTCTGTAGTTTTCGAGTATTTTGAATGGATCGTCTGACTTTGAACGCCTATAACTTTATCCAGAGATAATATTATGGCTAACTTTTTCTATCATTGTAAAGAAGACATTTCAGGCTTTTAAATCATACCAAATGGAGCTTGACTAGATTTTTCATTCCCATGCAGACAAGCAACACGACACCGGAGTCGGATAGGCCTCATTTGCTCAGAGTTGGCTTTGATTTCTCTGGACTG